TTGTATTATTAAATATAATACTGGCATTTAACTTGAGGTATATTCCTATATTTTAAAAAAATACCAATTTGATTTTTATTAAGAATACGTTTAGGCCAGGCGCGGTGGCTCAAGCCTGTAATCCCAGCACTTTGGGAGGCCGAGGCGGGTGGATCACAAGGTCAAGAGATCGAGACCATCCTGGTCAACATGGTGAAACCCCGTCTCTACTAAAAATACTAAAAATTAGCTGGGCATGGTGGCGCGTGCCTGTAATCCCAGCTATTCAGGAGGCTGAGGCAGGAGAATTGCCTGAACCCAGGAGGCGGAGGTTGCGGTGAGCCGAGATCGCGCCATTGCACTCCAGCCTGGGTAACAAGAACTCCGTCTCAAAAAAAAAAAAAGAATATGTTTTACAAATTAGAAATGAATGTGAATTTTATCAAATGCAGCCATGGAAAAATATCAAATGATAGTTTCCTCCCTTTTTGGTGAAGGTTATTAATATATTCTTATTTTATTTCATTTACTTTTATTTATTTGTTTTTATTTTATTCATATATTTTTATTTTCTTTATTCTGTTGCCCAGGTTGGAAGTGCAGTGGCGTGATCTCTGCTCAATGCAACCTCCATCTTCTAGGTTCGAGAGATTCTCATGCCTCAGCCTCCTGAGTAGCTGGGATTACAAAGCATGCACCTTGCATGGCTAATTGCTTATATTTTTAGTAGAGAGGGGGTTTTGCCATGTTGGCCAGGCTAGTCTTGAATTCCTGGCCTCAACTGATCCACCTGCCTTGGCCTCCCAAAGCGCTGGGATTAAGGTGTGAGCCACCACGTCCAGCCTAGTTATTAATATGCTTTAAATATTAAAGCCTTTATATCCTGATTTAATACTGATGATCGTGGAATTTAATTTTCATACTCTGCTGCTGGAGACTATGTGTTAATGTTTTATTTAGATTTTTGGTATCAAAAATCAATAAGACTGGCATGTAGTTTTATTTTTAATTTGGAATATTTTTGTCCAGTTTTTAGATCAATAAATTGTTCATTTCATAAAAACACACTGGGAAGTTTTTCTTCTGTCTCTGCTGTGGCATAGTTTGAAAATTGTTCTGGACTTATGTGTTTCTTAATAGTTTGGTGTATTTTCTCTGTGAAACCGTCTGGGATTGGTGCTTTTGGAGGGATAGAAATGATGTTTCAGATTTCTCTCTCTATTCAAGTCAGTTTGTTGCATAATGAACACTAATAACTGTTTTCTACTTCCAAAATTTTATGATTTACTTAATTTCCTTAAGGATATTTTCTGTCTCATTTTTATTTTGAATATGTATTGTACTCATTTTGTTCATCATATTTATAAATGTTAGCTAATAATTTGTCATTTAATTGTTAAAAGAATAATCTCTTGGATTACTTCATTTTGCAGTTGATGTCATTAAATTATACTTTCATTCTTTCAATTTCTTTGCTTCTGTTTTGCTTAGTGCATATGTCTATGTGTATACTTGTGTGTGTTGTGACTTTTTCCTGTTCGAGTTGAATACATACTTAGTTTCCTTTTATTTGTTGTTGCTTCACATTATACTCGTGGGATTTCTTCTGTCAGTGCTTTCTGCTAAGCACGTACATTGTCCTTTGTTTGTTTTAATCCTATCATCCAAAAATAACAATATATACATTATGGTTTAAATATAAATACATATAATTATCTTTATTCTAAAATTTTTAGTTACATTTTTTCATTTTTATGTTACAAATATAGTAAATACTATCCCATCTTTTTTTTCTCTATATAAATCTTCGATTTTATTTTATTTTATTTTTTGAGACAGAGTCTTGCTCTGTTGCCCAGGCTGGAGTGCAGTGGCATGATCTCAGCTCATTGCAATCTCCACCTCCCAGGTTCAAGTGATTCTCCTGCCTCAGCCTCCCGAGTAGCCGGGACTACAGGTATGTGCCACCATGCCTGGCTAATTTATTGTATTTTTAGTAGAGACGAGGTTTCACCATGTTAGCCAAGATGGTCTCGATCTCCTGACCTTATGGTCTGCCTGCCTCGGCCTTCCAAAGTGCTGGGATTATAGGAGTGAGTCACCATGCCTGGCCCAATTTTATTTTATGTCTTACAAAATTGGTCATTACAGTTTCCTTTCTTAAAAATTATGTTTTTCTTATCATTTGCCCAATTTTTGTAAGCACATTTAAACAGTTTTTTATAATTAAAACAATAATAATAATTACTAAATAATTTTAATAATTTTAAAACACATGGAGGTTACTTGATTTTAGGGGGGTAGGAAGTATCTGGGTATCAGTAGGATTATTTTTTTTAAGTCCAGTGACTTTATTAGGCTGTGTTTTAGTTTCTTTTTTTGAGATGTGGTTTCACTCTGTCACCTAGGTCAGATCACCACTTACTGCAGCCTCTGCCTCCTGGACCCCAGTAATCCTTCAATCTCAGCCTACTGAGTAGCTGGGATTACAGGCATGCACCACCAAGCCCAGGTATTTTTGTGTGTGTGTGTGTGTGTGTGTGTGTGTGTGTGTGTGTGTGTAGAGATGGGGTTTCACTATATTGCTCAGGCTGGTCTTGAACTCCTGGGTTCAAGCAGTCCTTCTGCCTTGGCCTCCCAAATGCTGGGATTATAGGCATGACCCACTACACCCACTCATATACTAGTATTAATAGACGTGAATCCATTTCTTCCCTGGGACACAGTTCCTTTTTAAATATATAGGTCTACATCTCTTTCCCAATATAGTTTTTAAAAATTACAGTTTAAAATATTTTTCCTGTTCAAATTTCCTGGGCTTTTTCGGGGGAGACACTAATTATAGATACCCTTTCCTTGTCTTATGCACATTCTTCCTGGTCTGATTTCCATGGGTATTACTTTTCCTAAAATCAATTTTAACTTTTTTGATTTTGCAGAATTTTCTCCAACATGTCATCCATATAGTTTCTTCTCTTTTCTGTGAATCCATCTACTTTACTTTTTTTCTTTTCCATTTCTTTCCTCAACTCTGTTAATTCATTGTCTCTTTATTTCACCTTGGGTTTCTTTCATTTTGGCTTTAAACTCTCCTTTCAAAGAGACTTTTTTCCCCCCATTAATTTACCTTTTGTGTGGAAAACTTCCAGTTACAATTTTCACCTATTGATGACAATTGTTTCAAAGTTACACCTTCATCTTCTCTTTTGGTCATTTTTATACACCACTTTTTCCTGAAGAAGATTTGCATAGATCCAGTAATTATTTGCTTTTAGTATTACTATTCCTCTCTACATGTAGAAGTTCACCTTTTCATAAAGCCTGTTCTTCCCTGGGTTGTTGTGAATTAGGGCCAAGGAAGGCTGGGGCAGAGAGTTTGTAGCAGGTACCTCATGTTCTCCTCTGCCTTCAGAGAGCTCCTTCATTGCCACTCAGCCATATGAACATGATTGCTCTGGGCCAGCAGAGTATGTCTCTGGATCTCATGGAAGTTACCACTGGAAGCTATTTATCATTGGGGCACAGCACTCATCTTTCCTTTTCATTGTGTACCTGGCACATGGTGTGTCTATTTGTGTTGATTTTTCTATAGTTTGCAAGTGGTGTGACTCTAGGTCTATGAATCACCAATGGTTCCTCCTCTAGGTAGCCACATCAACAAACAGCTTCCTACAAAGATGGCTTCCTGCATGTTTTGTCCTTCAGTCCTATGTCCTAGGAATTTTGTGGCATTAGGGAGATTCTTTAAACCATTTTTTGCTCTATAATCTTTTCTTCCAAACGAGGGACCTTTGTTGTCTCTTCCAGATATGCTTTCTAACTTGGAGAATTCTGTGTGTTCTTGGAAATGGTAGCATCCTTTCTCCTTTTGGTCTAATTTTTACTGTTCTTGGCATCCATTCTTGGATTACTGGTCATATTCTGGGCCATAGATTTCCTTTTTGTTTGTTTGTTTCTGGGAAGACTGAGTTTCTATTTCTATTTCTCAGTCTCTTTGTTGATTTCAGTTGTCATCAGAAATAAGGGGCAGATAAGATACTTATGCTACCATTTTAAACTGTAAGTCACATTATGCACTTTAACTTATTAAGTGGTTCTTCAGTTCTGGCTAGAGCGTATCTTATCAGCAGTATGATTCCCTAGAGAATATTTATGCAAATGGACCTTATATTTTGGAACAACAAGTATTCAAAAACTCCTTTAGAACTGAAATTGCTGTGAAGAAAATTGACATAAATAATTTTGCATGGTCTTACCCCAGTAGCTTGGTAACTGGAAATGTCCACCAAGGGACTCTCTTCTGCTCTTGCCTCCCCTGTGCTGTTGGATGTTTTTTCCAGAAGAGGGAGTTGTAGGCTGTCAGACAAATCATTAATCTTCATCAGAAGTTCATCTAACAGATTTGCAAATTCATCTAAGTAGTAATTCTGAAGGGAAGAAAATCAGATTAGTAAATGCATTCAAGAATCTCATTTTCCCTCTTTCCTCATTATGTGAAACATTTAGGGGTACCATCTGTAGATAGTATTGTGCTATGTTAGGAAACATACTGACCCTGCCTGCAGTCAGAAGACTTGAGTTCTGGGCCTGCTTTTATGTTTCTATATCTCAGTCGCTTCAATAATAATATACAGAAATGTGACGGGTAGTAATACCTACATAAAAAAACTATTGAATGGATTTAAAGGGAATAATGCTTAGCGCTGCTATGGAAAAATGAGGTCATTCTTCCATCCCTTTGATTAATAAATCTTTATTGAGTACTGTTCAAAACAAATAAAGGCAATAATGGATGGGGAAGCACATGACAGAGAGTAAAACCCTATCAAAATGTACAGTACCATGATTACATATGACTGCCTTCAGAACCTCACTGGATGATACCTAAATGTCAGCTCATAGGGTTTGGCTGTGTCCCCATTCAAATCTCAACTTGAATTGTATCTCCCAGAATTCCTGTGTGTTGTGGGAGGGACCTAGGGGGAGGTAATTGAATGATGGGGGCTGGTGTTTCCCTTACTATTCTTGTGATAGTGAATAAGTCTCATGAGATCTGATGGTTTATCAGGAGTTTCTGCTTTTGCATCTTGCTCATTTTTCTCTGGATGCCTCCATGTAAGAAGTGCCTTTTGCCTCTCGCCGTGATTCTGAGGCCTCCCAGCCATGTGGAACAATAAGTCCAATTAAACCTCTTTTTGTCCCCAGTTTTGGGTATGTCTTTATCAGCAGTGTGAAAATAAACTAAGACAGTAAATTGGTACAAGTACAGTGGGGCACTCCTGAAAAGATACCCAAAAATGTGGAAGTGACTTTGGAACTGGGTAACAGGCAGAGGTTGTAATAGTTTGGAGGGCTCAGAAGAAGACAGGAAAATATGGGAAAGTTTGGAACTTCCTAGAGACCTGTTGAATGGCTTTGACAAAATTGCTGATAGTGATATGAACAATAAGGTCCAGACTGAGGTGCTCTCAGATGCAGATGAGAAACTTGTTGGGAACTGGAGCAAAGGGGACTCTAGTTATGTTTTAGCAGAGACTGGTGGCATTTTGCCCCTGCGCTAGAGATTTGTGGAACTTTGAACTTGAGAGTGATGATTTAGGGTATTTGATATAAATTTCTAAGCAACAAAGCATTCAAGAGGTGACTTGGGTGCTGTTAAAAGCATTCCATTTTAAATGGGAAATGGAGCATAAAAGTTTTAAAAAAAATTGCAGCCTGACGATGCAGTAGAAGAGAAAACCTCATTTTCTGGGGAGAAGTTCAAGTCAGCTGTAGAACTTTGCATAAGTAGCGAGGAGCCTAATGTTAATCCCCAAGACCATAAGAAAAATTTCTCCAGGCCATGTCAGAGAACTTCACAGTAGCCCCTCCCATCACAAGCTTGGAGGTCCAGGAGGAAAAAGTGGTTTTGTGGGCTAGGCCCAGGGCCTCTGTGCTGTGTGCAGCCTGGAGACTTGGTGCCCTGTGTCCTAGCTGCTCCAGCTATGGCTGAAAAGGGCCAATGTATGTATGACTCAGACTGTGGCTTCAGAGGGTGGAAGCCCCAGGCCTTGGCAGCCTCCATGTGGTGTCGAGCCTGCAGGTGCACAGAAGTCAAGGACTTGAGGTTTGGAAACCTCGGCCTAGATTTCAGAAGATGCATGGAAATGCCTGGATGCCTAGGCAAAGGTTTTCTGCAGGGGTGGGGCCCTCAGGGAGAACCTCTGCTAGGGGAGTATAGAAGGAACCTAGTGGAGCTGTGAGAAGAGGGCCACCATCCTCCAGACCCCAGAATGGTAGATCTTCCGACAGCTTGCACTGTGTGCCTGGAAAAGCCACAGACACTCAATGCTAGCCCAAGAAAGCAGCCTGGAGGGAGGCTGTACCCTGCACAGCTACAGGGACAGAGCTGCCCAAGACCATGGGAACCCACCTCTTCAATCAGCATGACCTGCATGTGATACCTGGAGTCAAAGGAGATCATTTTGGAGCTTTAAAATTAGATTGCCTTGTTGGATTCTGGACTTGTATGGGGCCTGTAACGCCTTTGTTTTGGCCAATTTGTCCCATTTGGAATGCCTGTATTTACCCAATACTTGTACCTCCATTGTATCTAGGAAGTAACTAGCTAGTTTTTTTATTTTACAGGTTCACAGGCAGAGAAGGAACTTGTCTTGTCTCAGAAGAGACTTTGGACTGTGGACCTTTGGGTTAATGCTGAAATGAGTTAAGACTTTGGGGGACTGTTGAGAAATCATAATTAATTGGTTTTGAAATGTGAGAACATGAGATTTGGAGGGGTCAGGGATGAAATGATATTGTTTGGCTGTGTCCCCATTCAAATCTCAACTTGAATTGTATCCCCCAGAATTCCCACATGTGGGAGGGACCTAGTGGGAGGTAACTGAATCACAGGGCTGGTCTTTCCCATGCAATTCTTGTGATAGTTAAAGATCCGATGGTTTATCAGGGATTTCCACTTTTGCATCTTAATCATTTTTCCCTTGCCGCCACCATGTAAGAAGTGCCTTTTGCCTCCCACCATGAATCTGAGGCCTCCCAAGCCATTTGGAACTGTAAGTTCAATTAAACTTCTTTTTGTTCCCAGTTTTACGTATGTCTTTATCAGCAGTGTGAAAATGAACTAACACATTAGCCATGGAAGAAAGCGAGTGTTCAGTGTGCAAACATCTGGTTTGATTAGTTTACAGTCATGTCTGGGGTAACTAAACTCAAACAATGCACCTAAGGCTCCATGATTTGGGTAGAGATTTGGGTTTGACAGCAGGCACCACAAGCAAATAACTAACTCAGGGGGCAGAATACAGCATGTCTGTGTCCTAAGGAAGACCATAAACTCCGTCTTTCCAACTGTACAGGTCATTATAAGGATATAGTGAGTTAATGCAGGAGAATGTGCTTGGTAATCTGTAAAGTGCTTTAGAATTTCAAGGGAAAATTCCATGAGTTCCACTATGATTGAAACTAATTTTGTCGCTTTGCAATGAGATTTGGCATGGAAACATACTCATGCTTTGATAATTAAAAGCAAAATTCTGCCGGGCGCGGTGGCTCAAGCCTGTAATCCCAGCACTTTGGGAGGCTGAGGCGGGTGGATCACAAGGTCAAGAGATCGAGACCATCCTGGTCAACGTGGTGAAACCCCATCTCTACTAAAAATACAAAAAAAAATTAGCTGGGCATGGTGGCACGTGCCTGTAATCCCAGCTACTCAGGAGGCTGAGGCAGGAGAATTGTCTGAACCCAGGAGGCGGAGGTTGCAGTGAGCCGAGATCGCGCCACTGCACTCCAGCCTGGGTAACAAGAGCGAAACTCCGTGTCAAAAAAAAAAAAGCAAAATTCTGCAATGAAACCATCGTCTTGGGTGTGCCATCATGCTCAGTAACCCACGATCCCACAGCTTACGTGATTCTCAACCATCTCAGCCTCTTCTAACTTTGGTGCTTCCAGTCTCAGAACTGGTGAGGACCTTTTCCCACATATACGCAGTGACGTCTTTAAGTCTCACAAGAGATTTACTTGGAAAAGATTGTCTTTTTCGGGGTAAAGTCATTAGAAAACCTCTCAGCTAAAAAAGAGAAGAAAAAATAAAGACAAATTTCATGTCAGCCACCTAAATAAAGAGCCTTGTTAATATGATAAACTGTGCAATGAAGATTATATCTGATGATGCTACTTTACGACCTTTTGGTAAAATAGTGGCTTCTTGGTTAAAAAAAGCAAAATCAGGAAAATACCTCTCCTGAGTTGAACCAAATGTCGGTAAGATGATCTCAACCCTACAAGGAAATTCATTGTATGGCAAAGGATGTTTTCAGTATCTAATTTTGAAGACTGAGATTATCAACACAACGTGCATGCCAATAAGTGAAGTCTGTGTCTCAGTTTTGGTGTCCCCTGGTGAGCCGTTCGGAGCTGTGGGGGAGCATCAGGAGAGAGCCCTGTGCCCGTGCCTGGGAGACAGAAAGGGTCTTGTGCTCAGCAAGCTGTTGTGCCCTCAACATGTGTTTGATAAGCCTCAGAGGTGGTTTATTTCTTCACTGCAGGCTGTAAGCTGTTAGCTCAAAAGCCTGCTGGTACCAAACTCAATCTTTTACACATCCAATTGTTTTAAAAATAACCCAAATAAACAATTTTTTAGCCATTAGAGCCTGTCAGCTTTACATATCCTGCAAAACCTCAGGGGACAGCTGTTACTCACCGATAAGATTATAAGACCCTAAGCTGCCGATGGCCTCAGGAGCTTTCTGACCCAGAGCTTCCCTCCATGCTGCTGAGCAGCATCTTCTAAGGGATAAGCTCCCTCTCTGTTGCCCCTCTCCCCTGAGATCTCCCTTGCTCTTCTTCCTTTTTGGATTGTTCTTGAACCCTACACTGTAAGCCTATGGACAGTTTCATAGCATGAGGGAGTTCCCCTACATGGGAACACTTCAAAACACTACCTCAATAAGCTTGTGTGTGTTACTGTCTCTTGTGGTCATGTTTGTCCTTGATTGGTCCCTAAATCCCTCAAACCCCTCACAAAGTTTTAGAACTCTGCAAAGATGCTCAGGAGCCTGAAAGCGCAGGTCCACTGGTGTGTAGGTCTGAGGCCTTCCAGCTTTACCAGGAAAACAGACACGGGGGACAGCAAGGCCTGACTCTTGCACCTAGAGACCTCAATGCAATATTGCCTGCCTGTCTCAGAAGATAGCATCCAAGTGCCTAAGTACGACATGCAAGGCCCTCCGCTCCTGACTCCAGCCATCCTTTTCAACACGATGTCTGCTTGAACCAGAACTCCAGCATGGCCCTCTCCGTGTGCCCCCCTGTCTAAAACACTGCTCTCAGCGGTTGTCACCATGAGCGGAACTCCTGTTCAAGGCTCCCTTTACTGCTGTGTGAAGACTTCCTGGTCTCCTTAGGAAGAATAAATGAGTCTCTGATCTAAGTTTCTTGCTCTTTGGGGACACTTTTAGTTATGCTTTAAAATTGCCTATAATTATGTAGGATCTGTATGCTGAGGACTATAAAACAGTGATGAAAAGAGACCGAAGATGACCTAAATAAATGGAGAGAAATACAGAATTCTAGGATTGAAAAAAGCTTAATATTATTAGGATGTCCAATTCCCCCCAAATTTGATTTATACATCCACAGCAATTTCAATCAGAACCCCCACATGATTTAAACAACAAGATGTTAACAAGATGATTCTTAAACTTATATTGAAAGGCGAAAAGAGAGAGAATACCTACAACCAAAACAGAGCAAAGCTGGAGGACTCATCCACTCTATTTTAGGATTTGCCATAGAGTGGTCAAGACCTCATAGGATTTGCTAAAGGGAAGATCAGTGGAGACAAATAGAGAACCCAGAGACCAGATCCACACAGATACAGCCAATTGCTTTTTGACAAAGTCGTAAAACCAATTGCATGGAGTAAACATTCTTCAAAAAAAATTGTGCTGGAATAATTGGATATTCATCTATAAAAAACAGGAACTCTGTTCCATGCCTCACATCTTATATTAAAATTAACTAAAAACAGATGATCAACCTAAATGTGAAACATAAAACTATAAAAATTCTAGAAGAAAATAATAGGAGAAAATACATGTGATCTTGGATTTGGGAATTCATTTGGGCCAGGACACCAAAAGCAAAATCCATAAAAGAAAACATTGAAAAACTGGCCTTTATCAAAATTTACAACTTCTGCTCTGTAGAGACACTGTCAAGAGAATAAAAAGACAAGCTACAGGTCGGGAGAAAATATCTACAAATCACATAACCAATTTAGAAACTATTTAAAATATACAAATTATCCTAATTATTTGAATATGTCAGTCTTCCCCGATGGACTATGAGCTCTCTGAGGTAGTTATTATCTTTTTTTTTTTTTGCCTTTGCCTGAATATAATGGGCGTTCTTTAGGTTTTTGTTGAATAAGTGCATGAATGAACAGATGAGTGAATTGATGGATGGATGGGTGGGTGGATAGGTGGACAGGTAACTAGTTTGGTGGGCAGGTGGGTGGATGGGTGATGGACGGATTTATGCATTCATGGATGAGCAGGAGTAGGGAGCTAGGAACATTGATAAAAGCAAAGGGCTGGGGTCTGAGTGTTGTCAAGGTGTGAACACGAGCACTCGCTTTAGTTTCCCTCTAGCTCCTAAACTGGAATACCGGTAGACTTTTAAGGACTGCAGAGAATATTAATCCACTTACAAAGCTGGAATATTCAATTCACTGAACTTATAGTGAGCTCTACAATGTGTCAGGAACTACCCTAGAAGGCAGGGACACCAATACGCCCGCTAGGAATGTGGCTAGAGTTCAAAAGGAGACCAAAACCAACAGCACAGGACAATGGGTGCATTAAGGAGCATGCTCAGAGCCTTTGGGGGTCCTGGGGGGGATCGGTGCTGGGAGAGTTTCTAGAGGGAATGACACACTGACCCTGTCTCAGAACCTAACGCTGAATGAGTCACAGTGGAGGGATCTGAGGGAAGGCGCGTGCAGTAAGTGTGGGCAGCACGCCGACAGGCCTAGCCAAGCACAGACAGGGGTCCCAACCATGAGCCTTCCACAGGAACACCTGTAGGGCTTTCTGGAAATAGAAGTGATGAGTCCCACTCTTGTGAGTGGACACAGCAATCCTGGTCGGGCTGGGCAGAGCAGGTGAGAGCCTCGGCACGGAGGGGTAACATATAAGACGCTCAGTTACGTTTTAATTTCAGGTCAACAGCAAATAACTTTAACACAAACATGTCTGAACTATTGCAGGGGGCTTACAAATACTGAAAACTTTAATACTGTTTACTGAAATTTAACTGAAACTGGGTTCCAGTTTTATTTGCTAAATCTGTTGACCCCAAGTCCAGGCAGCAGGACGAGACCATGGGGGAACCTTTTTTTCCATTGAAGGAGTTTAAGCTGGCTGTGATATGACTAGATTTGCCAGCGGCAGATCAGCAGGAGGGAGTGAAACAGGGAGTCATTCCTCCTTCGGTCCGCAGCCTGGAGAACACGTCCAGCAGAGGGTGGCTGATTGGAGTGCACCTCTGATAAGATGAGAAAAGGAAACAGATACCCTTGAGGCAGCGTGAGATTGCAGGTGAAGTCCAGAGCAAGAAATGATGTGATTCAGTGCAGGGTGAGTAGGACCAGGGAAGCTTCCTGGAGGAGGTGGCACCATGGGGTGGCTGCTGTCGTGCTGGACTGTTCTAGGGCAAGGGAGAGTCAAACTAACTGTGTTTGACTCACCTGATGTCCCAGGGCAGGTGGGCTGGGCCCCAGGGATTCATTACCATGAGATCTGACCTGTGTTGCCTGGCCCCGTCCACATACAGTTCCACCCCAACAGCAAATGAAACTTGTACAAACCATGATTTGAAAGTCGGGGACACATTTACTTACCATTCCAAAACAGAATGTGGCAGAGACTATTAAAAGGGCCCCAAAGTAACAAGCCATGGCCCGCTGCTCAGACTTGGAAAGGCCAAGGAAGGAGTCTTTCTGGCTTCTTCCAGGAAAACGAAACAGCAGCATGGCGAAGGCGTCTGTGAAGGT